ATTTAAAAAACACTAAAATATAAATATAATTTAAATAATTATTAACAATTTAAATAACTATAAACTTGGAAATGTTCGTTTTATATATATAGTTAAAGATCACTATTAAATTGACTACAAGGAACAACGTGCGAAGAGCTCTAACGGGGATCATACGTATGTACGTACTAGAAATACCGATGATCTATATCTTACCTCTGCTGTGCTATGATCGACATCACCAGCACTTTTTATGGCCACCCTGGATGATTCTAAAAATGTTATCAGATCCTCCGTTGTTTGATATCCTTTAACTTCATTGATTGTAGAAAGTGAAATTGTTTTTCCGGTAGTAGACATATTCACGTATTTAGTTTTTGGATAGGACGAAAAAATTTTTTTTAGTAAGAAATAGTTGTACAGTACATTCTACTTTTTTATAGTTTATACAAACAATCAGATTGTCGTACAACAGGTTACACATTGTTACACGATAAAATGACAATACTGATATTGTATTTTTTTAAAATAAATTTTAATAAATCACAAAAGCGGGGTTATAGTCCCTTGCAAAATTTTTATTCGAGTTTGTTGATTGTTATCCAAGCGTATAGAAACAAAAAATGAAAAACTATTATTCCTGAAGAGATGTGACTTTGATGTCACAGTAAGGTTACATGAATTCTGATCATTACGTTTCGTTAGGGTAATCATCAAACTAATTAAATCAAATATTAGTTAGGGCTGTAGGGTACATATGAAAATCATTTATGCGAAAATTTTTTATGAAAATCCGAATTTACTGCGGATAATAGTAACTTTTGGTACAGTTTTCTCGCGAACTAACATAACAATTGCAGTTAAGTTTTTTGTAGAAGATATAATTATTAGTATTAAATATTGTAATAACGTCATTTTTTCGATTTTTTTCATTTATGAGTGGTTAATTTCTTTAACAATGTAAGTGAACTTTACTTAATTTAATAAAACATAAAAGATATTAAAATCTGTAAAACAAAGGTTATTATCGAAAAGAATGAAATAAAAGCTATAATTTAAAAAAAAATATGGTATAAAAAATTTGTATACTTCGTGCAAAATTTGTACTATTGTAACGTAGATTAAAAAAATATTTGATTTTATTTATCAAAATACTGCGATTTCAAACAAAATCCAAACAATGGCACCATCTAAAATATGCACGCAACCAACGTCAATTTTCAAAAAATAAGGCCCAAGCTAAAAATACTGTTGAAAATAGTATAGATAGCAATAACAGTATTTCATCGACTATACCAGCAAGGACATATATAGAAATAGATATTCAACAACAAAAAATTGATGACCTCATAGAATATGCAATCGATTTGCCAGATCCAATACTTGCCATATTTATAACTATAATTAAAAAACTTGCTCAAGAGCAATATACTCAACTGCAATATTTAAAAACGTGGAGTAATTTATTAAATATAGTTAAAAATATAGATGATAGTGAATTAAATCTTGTAGTATCATTAATAAATCTTATGAAACATAGGAACGGCCCTAAAGCTAGCAAGATTTTTTCAAAATATTTGCAGCAGAAGGCATATAATTTCGTTTGTCGTTTGAATAGAAGTCATATTAAATACAAAAAAAAAAATATTCAAAAAATTAATCGTCTACAAAAAACAAAAAAAATTTTACATGGTAAAATTGGAAAGTCTAAACAAATACGCAAACAACACATCTCTAAAGTTCGTTCTATAGCTCGCAAAGCACCTAATATAACTGATAAGAAATTAAAATTAGCAATTCAAGATCGGCTTATGTTAAATAAAAAACAATTTAGTGCTAAAACTGTCTCTATGGCTACACAAATTTGTGAAATTAGAGAAATGTCTTATCGATCCGCTGTAACTTGTATGAAAAAGGTAATCGAATAGTTAATAGATGAAGAACCAAATAAGTAGTTTTCTGTTAGCACACTTGTTGAATAGCATCAAGATGTATCGAATATTCATATTATTCAACAATGTAATATTGCTAAACTTTCTAAATGGTTTACTTTTGGAATCATGACAGACGAGTCAACACGTGGCGATAGTAAAGTTTTTGTCATATGTTTTATGTATTGGGATTTAGTTAGTAATAAGCCAAAAGTTACTTTATTGGAACTTCAAGATTTAACTCAATGTACTGGGACATTAATCGTGCATACTGTTATTAAATCGTGTAAGCAATATCAACTAGACCCAACTAAATATTTAACTTGGACAACAAACAATACGGCATATATGTCAGATTATAAAAATGGCATAGTAGCTTTATTTAATAAGGAAATTAATTCAAATTCGTTTAGAATTTCTTGTGGGCTTCATTCGGCATATATAATGATAACAAATTTTGAAAATGCCACATTCGGAAAGCTCAAAGTCAAAAAAGGATTTTCAACTCAAAAACATCCTTTTAATTTACTATACCTTATTTGGCAATTGCATAACGGGTATAGCGAAAGTAATAAAGACAATCCAATAAATATGAAATCGTCTTATATATTTGATTTATATGCTAAATTATTTGGAATTCAATTATCTCAATTTCAAAAACCTTTACGGCAACGGTGGTTATACAAATTACAAGCAGCA